TGCGGGGACTTCCCTGGCGGTCAAGTGGTTAAGACTCCATGCTGCCAATGCAGGGGGCTTGGGTTCAATCCCCAGTTGGGGAACTAAGATCTCACACGCCTTGTGGTCAAAAATTAAAAAAAAAAAAAAAAAAAAGATATTGATGCTGTGCTAAAGGAACTAGGCATGAGTAGGCTTGAGGCCAGAATTCAAGTTTCCCTCTGCCTGTCCTCTTCTCTGAGAAGTGTCCTTACTACTTGAACCCCAGTGACCAGTACAAGGACTGGACAAACACCATGCAGCCAACAGGCCAAGTTCTGCCTGACCTGTATTCCACAAGACCTGTTTTCTTGGGCCTGCACAGTTTTGTTTTTTTTTTTTAATTTGAATTTCAATGTCTTTTAAAAGGGCACAAGCTCTCCAGGTCACTGCTAATCCCTAAATATACCCTTAACATGCAGGTCACTTGGCTAATTCTGTGTCACTAACACCCCCGTGGGCTTTTGACCTTTCTGCCTCTGGTGACCAGAAAATTCTCCTTAGTTAACAGAGGACTCAGCTTTGACACTGAAGTCTCAGGGGCCTTGGATAATGAAAAAGGGTGGATCAAAGAGGAAACTAATAGCTTAGTCTATGAGATATTTTAAAAATCCAACTAAGCCACTCTGGGTCCCCTTAGTTCTGCATTTTCTGTTGTGTCCCTTAACTTGGTGGTCCTTGGCAGACTACTTACAGGGTGGTCAACTTCTGGGTCATAAACCCCATGAGGTTCTGCTTTGAATTTATGTCAACATAGACTGTGTCTTTTCTCAGCTTGTTGCCAGCAAAGCAATGCTTAAGTTGGGCTGATTTGGGCTCTGGGAAGAGAGGGCAGCCATTCTTTCAATGGATGCATTTCATTTTGCCCCACCTCTCAAGTTCCAAATGCTCTGGAGATTCATTCATCTTCCTTCTTCTCCTCACACTCTTCCTTCCTTCTTTTTCTTTGACACCCAAATCCAAATGATGTATAAGTGGAGCAGATCTTGGTTGGGTAGGAGTGGGAAATATTGTCCATCTTTATTTTTTTCACTGCAAACTCCACGTTAGATCCAAGTTTGCTAAAACATACAAGGTCCTCCTAACCCCTGGAGGTATACTTAAACTCAGCAAATAAGCAGAGTGCATTTTTTTTGAAAGCAATCAACTTTCCTCAATGATCAGTCATTTAAAACTATACTAAGACCAGCAAACTTGCAGTGAAGCAGAAAGCAAAATTCACTTTTTAAAAAGATAAAACACAGGATCATAAAGACATTTCATTCTTGCTGTAGGCTTCTTCCAAATGTTTCCCTGGATCCCAAGGGAGTGCTTTACATCTCCATTGCTATTTGGAGTATCTGGGTGAAAGTTTGAGAAGCAATGTGAGATTCTGGTAAATTCTTTTCTAAAACACAGTCTGCTTTTGTATCTGAGAGGAGTATTTCTTTATTTCTGGGGTTCGTGGAATGAGAAATTATGTAGTCCTTGGCTGGACACTTAAGTCTGTTCCTGGACTTGCCAAAAAGGCTTGGGTTGAGTTACTGGACTGGACTACATATTCCCACTCTGAGACCACCGGGATTGTAAAACTGTTGATGCTGAGTCCATTTCTTGTAAATGGCTCCACATATTCACGAATAAATAGTTTAGTTCTGTTATTGTTGGTTTTGGAGTCACCCACACACACACACACACACACACAGTTATCTTGTTTATGCAGAAGTATCAAGCATTGGCATTCTCTCTGTTCCGCATTTGTTGGAAGGTAAAGAGGCACCAATAAAGAAATTGTATTATGCATGTTTTCTGCATTGGGTGGCACCTGGAATTTGCTGAATTTGCTGAGAGCAACTTAAATTTTAAAAGTTTCCTGAGCCTCACCTTTTTCATGCCATTTGAGTCAGATGGAAAACCAAATAATTAGAATAAGCTAGCTGTGTGGGTCCTTTCTCTTGCTCTCAGCTGACTCCAGACCCTGCTGTGGAATTCTAGCACCTCTTCCCCACCCCCGCTTCCAGCTGCTAAACTTCCATGACCAGATCTAAACAACTGTCTTCCCTCCTCTCCCCATCTCAGATAATCAACAACTGAGTTAGCATATTACCTAGGACATCGCAGTACAAAAAATGTTCAGAGTAGAAAACAAAACAAAACAAAACCACTCCTAACCATTGGTTTATCAGAACATCTCATTTACTTTATGTTGGTCTTCTTCAAACTTGAAAAATGACTTTAAAGCAATGAAGCTGATTTTCACCAGCATTATATAGACTCTGACTAATGCCAACCAAAAACACTTTGCCTAGACTGCTTCCCACTAACTTGTACCCAGAGGGGATGGGGTGAAGCAGAATTGAAGAACAAATGTAAACAAAAGTCCAGACATATTGCTCTTTCTTTCAGTGACTCACCCCCGAATGGGACCCTGTCTGAGATCCCACAAAATCCTGTTAAATCTTTCTAGGCAAGATGCTTAACTGCTGTTAGGCTTAGGGAAGAAAATCGGTATTATAGCTTCCCAGTGATACTGCATTTTGGTAATGATCTCAACTTTTGGAGAAGGCAGCATGGTGTGGTGAACGAAGATTCAGCATCAGACTCAGACCAGCCAAGGTTTAAATCCCAGAGCCACCATTTTTTGGCTGTGCACCATTAGATACGTGACAGGTCCTCCCGGGCCTCTTTTTTTTTTTTTTTTTTTTTTTCCCATCTGCAAAATGAGAAATGATGACAAGGATTAAATGAGACAGCAGATGAGAGAAACAAGCTCAGTGCTAGGCACACTATCAAAGTAAGCATCCCTTCTTTTTTAAAATCAGATCACAGACTATGAACATAAAGTAACTCCCCACCAAGAGCTGACTCTGGCCGAGGGCACTGTTTTCTACGAAGGGAGCTCTTGGTGGCCCTTAGTTGTGACTGCTGATTGCACACATCTGGAAACTATGACAACTGTTTTGCTTTGAGCTCAGCTTGGCCCAAATATAGCTCTATATAAAGCAGCTTCTATCCCTCAGTTTTTCCCAACACATCATAGCTTGGCATGAATTTGGGCAGAAGAGTGGGTGTCAAAAGAAATGCAAAATATCTGGGAGGAATTCAGATTCAACTAAGAATCACCCAGCCCTGTATGGCCCCTGGAGTAGCTCCCTGTAGTAACTGTCCCTGGAGTAGTTCATTCAACACTCACAGGAGCCTAGTACGAAGCTCTATTATTATGCCTACTTTGCAGAAGTTTCAGCTGAGTCTGGGAGGTTAAGTGGCTTTCTCAGGGTCACAGAAATAATAAGGTTTGAGATAAGACCCCAGGCTTTTTGACCTGGTTAAGAAAGCAGGAGGATTTACAGAGTTGGAAGATGGGCAATGGCAGTGTCTACTTGCCAAAGCCTGCTTTGAGTTGACACCATCCACAACAAGTGCCGGGAAGGGGGGTTGTTGAGAGGAATGTCCCAAGTAAGGTGCTTTTACCTTTAGAAACCCTGTGCCGAGGCCCTCTGTCCATTATGTCACATATCAACTGGGGCAGGTAGTGAGATCTGGCTAATTAAACATGTCATGTAAACAATATCTGATCACTAACTTTAAAAACAATTTGTAAGGGCTTCCCTGGTGGTTGAGTGGTTAAGAATCCGTCTGCCAATGCAGGGGACACGGGTTCGAACCCTGGTCTGGGAAGATCCCACATGCTGCTGAGCAACTAAGCCCGTGCGCCACAACTACTGAGCCTGCACTCTAAAGCCCGCAAGCCACAACTATTGAGCCCTTGTGCCACAACTACTGAAGCCCACGTGCCCGTGCTCTGCAACAAGAGAAGCCACCGCAATGAGAAGCCCGCACACCGCAACGAAGAGTAGCCCCTGCTCACCACAACTAGAGAAAGCCCGCACACAGTAGCGAAGACCCAATGCAGCCAAAAATAAATAAATAAAATAAATAAATTTATTTTTAAAAAAAGAATGCTACCATTGTCAGCTTTCTGTTTTTTTTTAAACTGTTTAAAGAAATACAGAGCAATTCTTTTTTTTTACCACGAAAAGCAACAATAGTTTATTCGAATTATTTTTAATTCTTTAGCAAGAAACATTCATTTTTTTATGTGAAGGGAAAACCCTGAAGATGTCCAGCCTTAGGTCAGACAAAAATAGCTGAGTCCTAGCACCTACAGAGCAGTTCTAAACACAATTCCCTTATGGGTTTAACTGATGAATTTGTTCTTTCTTTTCACCTGAAAAGCTTCCATTTTCCTCTTGCCCCTTTGTTCTCAGGAGGCAGTTTTGAGTCCCAACATGCCCTGCATCACCTCCTCCTGTGTCCACTGCCGAAGCAGGGCAATCAGAGTGTGGGCTTCAGCACAACCCCAGTTGGATGACACACAGTGAGAGTAATATGCTGGTAGAGTTTTTAAAATTCCAGAATACCAGAATACAGTACTGCAGCCCCCCTCTCTCCAAATCAAAGCCTACTGAATGAAATGATGACTGCACTCAAGTGCAATTATACTGAGCATGTAAAATTGAAACACTGAAAGTAAATCTTACATTCAGATATTGCATTTCATATTTCAGCCTATGCCAAATAAGCTAGTGACATTTTTATCATTGTTGAGTGTAATGTCAGGAGACAAACTTCTACAAATTTTCTACATAACTTTTTCCATTTTATCTGTTTTCCATTTATGGAGTTGAACACATGGTGTGACTTTTAATATTCTCTCCTCCTTCTTCCCCGCATTTTATGACAAGGGATCAAACTCAATCTTGATTATCCTAAGTTTACCCTTAGGTAACCTCAGACCCAGAGGGGTTTTTTGTTTTGTTTTGTTTGTTTGTTTTAATTTGTATGGAAAAAGAGAGAGGAAAAACTTCCAAATTACCCTATAAACCTGGTCCTATGGATGCTGGCAAATGGCCTGGAAAGAACAGGTGCCAGCATGTTATAGAAGACCACAGTGGTTGGTGGCTACCAGCTCAGGTCTCTCAGGTCGTGGAAACTCCGTAATAACTGAGGGAACTGTGGGTTTTAACGTATGTCAGATTTCGAAGATGGGGCGGGCTTAGTTGAGCGGGGTCTCCCTGGGGGCGCACAAGGGAAGCGGTTGGGAATGAATGAGCCGAGGCCCCGAGCCCGCGTTCCTGGCGGTGGCGCCCTAGCTCCAGCGCGGTGACAACAAGCGTTAAGGTAACAACCGCCGCCGCCGCCGCCGCCGCCAGAGGATGGCTTCCAGCTTCAAGAAGTCAAACGTGGCCTCCACCAGCCAGAAAAGAAAGGTGGAACCTAAGCCCGAACTCACTGAAGATCAGAAGCAAGAAATTCGCGAAGCGTTTGCCCTCTTCGATGCCGACGGCAGCGGCACCATCGACGTGAAGGAGCTGAAGGTGGCCTTGAGGGCGCTGGGCTTTGAACCCAGGAAGGAGGAGATGAAGAGGATAATCGCCGAGGTGGACAAGGAAAGCACAGGGAAAGTCAGCTTCAATGACTTCTTGGCTGTGATGACTCAGAAGATGGCCGAGAAAGACACCAAGGAAGAAATCCTGAAGGCTTTCAGGCTCTTTGATGATGATGAAACCGGGAAGATCTCTTTCAAAAACCTAAAGCGCGTGGCCACCGAGTTGGGGGAAAACCTCACTGATGAGGAGCTGCAGGAAATGATTGACGAAGCAGATCGGGATGGAGACGGTGAAGTGAACGAGGAAGAGTTTCTTCGGATCATGAAAAAGACCAGCCTCTACTGAAGTCGGTTTCTCCCGCAAGCATGTGTAGGGAGATTGAGTTGACTTGCTGGGTTCCCTGTTTCTGTTTTGTGAAACCTTGAGGTAGAGGCCAGCACTGTCTCTCCTCTTACCCCCAGCTGGTCTAGATAGTTCTATTTCCAAATCTCTAGCTCAATTATAGAATTTTAAAGATGCTTTTAATGTGAGTTTTGGTTTTTCATTCCCAAGAGCAGACCTGGAGGAGTGTAGGTTGAATCAAAGATTCTGAAACTTCTTTCCATCCACCATTTGCCTTGCATTGGTGGACACCCATTAAACTGAAGGCAAGACATATTGCCTTCAGTTTATATATATATAATATATGCTTCATATATTATTCCTTAAATTCAAGTCATTGTTCTCGCATGATAAGGTGGAATCACCAGCAGGTCATCCTAGCCATTGATTTTCACTTAACTGAATACTGGTTTGAAGGAAAACAGTGCAGCCATTTACTGGGCTCAGGAAAGGTACTGCTCTAAAGGATAGGCTTGCCTTTGGCTGGTGGTAAATTGTGCTATTTAAAGTGTTCTCTGGTTTCATCACATGCAAATGATTCTTGATTTGTGTGTACATTATCTACTGTGGATTATCGGGGCCACAATGTATTCTTGGGCTACAGAATAAAAACAGAATTTAATATTGGCCCAAGCAAAGTATGATTGGCTTAAGAGATTAAGCTAACTAATGACTTTGAGTAAATATTTATAAATGTAAGATCTTAGCTTAGGAAGTTGTAAAAAAATATCTATAACACACTTTGAGCTACTTATCTGTCCTTGGAAAGATAAACTATTGTTTTAGTTATTAGACGAGTTATACTATAACCTTAGTCATTTTATTATTGCTTTATTACAAGCCACTGTCTACCTTCTAATTCTTAGAACATCTTGGTTCTTGATACTTAATTTCCCCTCCTCTGGTATATAGTTGATGCCAGAATGTCTGGCGTTTAAGTAGTTCTCTATTTTATAATCCCAGGAAACTATTTGTTGTGGCTTGTGTATGCATTAATACTACTTGTTCTCTGTTATAAATTAAACCTTTCTTGTTTTGAAATAAAATACCTACCCATTTGAACATCTACAAATATGAAGTTAGAGAAAAGTTAAATAATATAGCTGTGGGAAGATAATGAAATCTATCTGCTGAGATGGAGGCCTGGACAAATGTTTTGATAATAGGCAACAAAACTAGCAAACAGGCAAGATATTTTGGTCGCAACTAAATTAAGTCTTCATACAAAGTTGCATTAAAATAAATGCTGAAATTCTGGAAAATTTTTCACTTGCTTTGCCAGCAGTTTTACCCTTCAGAGGATTGTTAATCCAATCAGGAAAACTACTACTCTGGGTTTAATTCTCATTAACAGGGCCTAATTTGTCAAAGCAGCAGTACTAGCTGAAGTGATGGGTATGTGGGCATTTACTGTGAGAAAGGATTTTGCTGAGGCGGCTGGCACAGGGCAGGGGAACTCACCCAGACTGCAAATGCTAACAGTTCAGGTTCAAGGTCTTAGTGTGGATTCAGGTGCAGTTGTAGGGGATACAGGTGCAGCTTGGACCAGCGACAGTGTGAGGGGCCCGATCTGAGGGCAAGGGGAAGAGCGTGGCATTCTGGGAAACAAGAGTTCCTGGCATCCTGATGACCAGAGTCTCGGCCCAAGGATCTACATATGGATCAAGGTAGAAAAAACAGAAACAAAGAAAGTTGGCAGGAACTAGGAGAAAGGGTCAGAGCCTTGGCCAACTGGACTGGGTTCAGTCTTGGCTCCCGGCCCAGCAGAGGATAGAAGTGAAAACCAGGAACCCAGGCTGAAGCCCAGGAATCAAGCTGCCCAGACACCATGGGGTCAACTGTGGAGGCTGTAGCCCAGGACTTAAAGGGTTGCCTTAAAGACACAGTCCGTCCTACACACAGGAAGGGGCTCCAGAATATTTCTGAATCCCATTCACTGCTAAGGAAGAACCTCTCAATGGACTACTAGTTTTGCTTCTCAGTCGGCACGTATTCTGGGAGATGGAGGGTAAATCAGGGGCAGGGGAACAACTAGAGCAGACCTGGATTGACATTTGAATTTGAAGAGAAGTAAATCATACATGTCTGGCTGCGTCAGACATGTATCCCAGTCTTTACACAAATAGAACACAAGAAGTTCAATGAAAATTTAAAAACACCTTTTTGCAGATGAGTGAACTCAGCTATAAAGGTTGGGAAGAACTCAGAAAGTAGTTTTCACTTTACTGGCACTATTACAAATGGTCCAATAAAGAAGCAGGAAGTATATCAAAGAAACTGTGTAGGGAGCTCATTGATAAACTCTTGCTTTCTAATGATAAATGTTAACAGGTGAAAAGCAGAGCATCAGGCCAAGGATAAAAATATGACAGTCTCAAGGTTGTATTGCTATCAAGGGAGCTAATGCCCCAAATGAGCAGAGGACAGTAAAGGAATTTTTTTTTTCCTTAAAGGCATCTTAGTTATGTCTAAGATGAGAAGATTGAGGATGGGATAGGTCCAACTCTTTAAATTGTTGCAGGTTGGTTTCCATGCGAAGCAGGCTCTTTGAGTCTTAGGTTTGTGTACAGGAAGTTTATTTGAGTTCTGTGGATCCCACGGGTGAGGGGGAAAGAAACCAAGACAGGGCAGAGGGAGAAATTGGGCTATGATATGGTCACTAACAGAGGCCTCAGCTGATCTCTTGGGGAGCTCTGGGGCAAGGGTGACCCTGCAGAGGACCCAAATTGTGACGAGGAAGCTGGGCCTTTAAAACTTGTCATTGACTGACAGTCACTGGACATGAGCTGTCCCTAGGAAGGGGGTATGACCTTGAGCAAGGTGGCTGTCCTCAGCCAAGGGCAATCAATCTCTGGGAGAGGGAATTCAGTTGCAAACTATTAGCTGTCAAGACCGCCAGCACCTGGGGGATGACTTCCGTTCTGAGGGACAGGCCAGAGGGGAGATCTGGGCAGGGCCCCACGGTGTCCACTGCACCCCACACCTTATACCACTTAGATCTACTGGCTAATTCAGGATTCTGATGGATCTTTCTTCCTGGGGGAAACTTATAAAAGGAAATCTAGAGGGATGAACTTCAGCCTCTGTCACAGCAGCTTGTCTCGAGACCACAAGTAGTGCTCATCCCAACCACGCGGTCTGGATTCCCCTCACCCTCAGCACCTCTGCTGACATATGACTTGCCTAGTGGGATGACCCAGATCCTCATCCCTGAGGAGTCTGGGCCCCTAATCACCATGCCCCTCTCAGGCTCTGGTTGCTGCACACATCTCTCTGCCCTCAAAATTGACTACAGGAGCCCCAAGAGACGTTCAAGTGTGTAACCTGGGTGCCAAGCATACTGTCCCCATGTTCTGCCCACAGCTCTGCATCCTCCTGATGTCCAGGAGCAGTTACCCATGGTGGTGGCACCTTCCCTGGACTGCTGCCCTCTCAGCACGAGGAACCCAGTGTAACTGGGTGGCACGCATAGTTTGACATTTAATGGGACTCTCGCTGTGCCTACTGAGGGGAACATTCCCCCTCTGGGAGCCAAGATCTCTAAATGCACAGAGGCCAGAGTTGTGGGGACGGGCAGCACAAATTAAAGGGTAAATGCCTGGCAGCTGTGGTAAGAATGACTTCCGCCCTTGATTTGCTGGACTCACGTGACACCACACCATATAATGGCCATCAGTTTTGAGTGTGTGCTGCATCCTGGAGGGTGGCAAGGCATCCTCACTGGTTGTGATGCCCAAGCTGGCCCCTCAGCAGCATCTCCAGCAGGCTTTTCCACTACTCCATCAGGTCAAAATCTTCTGTGTGTTATTGGACCAGTAGACTCTGGGCCTGAATTCCCACTGTTGCACTTCCTTTCCTATAAAGTGGGTGCCTCGGTCCAATGGAATATTATGTGGGATCTTATGTCAGTAAATACTCAGCCGTGGTCCTGGCTGAAGCTCCACAAGCAAGAGAGGCAAACCCTTGACCAAAATATGTGTCAAGTCCAGTCAAGATGAGTCGCTCATCTTTCCAGGTGGAAGGGATCCAGTTAGACTACTTGACACCAGGAGGCCTGTTGGCCTCCTTGGGGGATGGTGCTGTTCCCATTTGGTGGCCACAGTAGCTATATCACCCTTCCTGAATGGGAGTCCGAGCTGCTGGACCTATGCACAGCCTCCATCTCTGCCCAATGACTACTCCATTCATGTACGTATTGTGCCAGCCCTGGGGTGGCAATGACAGAGGTAGACTGGCATCAACTGGCCAAGTCATTCTATCTTCCTAGTTGTTTGGCATCTCTTATACGATAGAAATGCTCTGATAGGTGTTAATATGAATTCCTTACACTTCCTACCCATTGCCATAAATCCATCTATGTATCTTTTTTCCAGATCTTTTTTTTTTTTACATCTTTATTGGAGTACAGTTGCTTTACAATGGTGTGTTAGTTTCTGCTTTATAACAAAGTGAATCACTTATACATATGTTCCCGTATCTCTTCCCTCTTGCGTCTCCCTCCCTCCCACCCTCCCTATCCCACCCCTCCAGGCAGTCACAAAGCACCGAGCTGATCTCCCTGCACTATGCGGCTGTTTCCAGATCTTTTTATTCCTGATGTTTCCTTTTCCAGAGTCCTGAACAATCAGCCAACTGATTGGCCACCACTGTCAGAGCCCACATGTATTCTAATTTCAGGCCACTTTTCTTTCCACACAAAGTGGATTCTGGTCTATCAGAAATTCTGTCCATTGGGAGGGTTTCCTCTTTCACTGATATCTTTCTGGTCCACCTTTGAGTGTCATGAACCTATGGTCCGTTGTACCAAAGCTGACGTATCCCTGAACCAACTTCAGCATTTTTACTCTTCCAACAGCTAGTCATAAAAGACCACCTACCCCCACGTGGGCACAGGTATGAACTGAGGGAGGGGCTCTGGTGCAATTTGATGGATGACAGGGGCCTTCTCCTCATGCAGCTTACTTGGGTCCTCTAGACTTGCCTGTGCCGGATCCCAGGCATGCGGGTTCTTAGTTCCCCAAGCAGGGATTGAACCCATGCCTCCTGCAGTGGAAGCATGGAGTGCTAACCACTGGACCACCAAGGAATTTCCCCAGATATACCGCTTCTTTTTCTAGTTTCCCAAGGTAGCAGATTACACT